GCGAAAACGCACCGAACCCCAATCGCGCTATCAATGTTCAGAAGTCAACGCGCTATACATAGATTAACTCCGAAATAACACACAGAACGTTCAGTGATTCTGCGGTGTCGGTTGAGCTCACTATCGGTCGATTGAGTCACTCCACTCTCATTGCTCCTGCGCATGATTTTTTTTGTTCACGAATATACACCATACTGCTTGGTGCTCTGTGTTTGGTTGTTACCTTGGTATTCTCACTGTGGTGCGCGAAGCACGCTGTCCTGGGAGACAGCGGTCTCACTGTGTTGTTGTGAAGTGTATCGGACATTTGTTGTGGTGCAAAGAGTGTTTGTACGTAACTCTCCTTCCTAGCTTCCTGGTACTTGTATGGGCAACCGTAAGTAGAGTGAAACACACCCGCTGCCTCAAAGGCGGCCATCGTTTTTTAATGTTGGTGTTGCTTGATGCATTACGCAACAGCTAGGTACATACCCTAGAGTATCAACGCGCTAGGTGTATAGGTGTTTGTTTTATGCACACAAGTTTGTTTGGGCTGTGTTCCTTGCACAGCGCAATGCCACTCCTGCGCCCAAACCTGCGCTCTTTGAGTCCACGCCTCTAGCAGGCCCCTCTACCCAGCGTGTCTGGCCCCCTATAGACCGTCCGACTGTGCGGATCGATGACCCGCTGTCGCCGAGCACCGGACCTACAACCCCTGTGTCCATAGACGCGCCCTCCGCCATGTCCACCCGCGGCCCGTCTCCGGTATTCTCAGAAGCCGAATCATGCTCCGAAATAAAAACCGACTCGCGCGTCCTGCCCAAGCTGAAGACGAAGGCTTCACTATCGTCCAGGGCAAAATTCCGAAACGCGTAGCCCCAAAAAAGGCAGCCGAGCCTAACTCGTCCCCCACCACAACGCCGGCAAAAAACCTGACCCCACGTCGTGCGCTCAACCCTAAGCCTGCGGCTAAGCCAACAGCGAATGGGTCCCCTGCTGAACGTAGGGAAAAGCTGCCGCCACCCATCATTCTTCAAGATAAAACCAAATGGAATAACCTTTCCAATTGGTTGAACTCTAAAAATATATACCGGCCAAAGGTGTGAAACGCCGATCAGGGCATTCGAATTTTCGTAAATACAAATCAGGGTTTTCGCTGCGTGATAAACCACCTGCGCGCCCAACAAGGCAGTTTTCACACGTACGCCCTCCCTTAGAAACTTGCGCGTAGTCGTCCGAGGCTTCCTCAAGGAGCTCGAGATTGTCCACATTTCCTCATGGTCCGGGAGGTGAATAGAATGCACCATCTGTACGGTGCAACCGCACAAATCGCCGCATCAGCATTCTTGCTTCATATACTTATTTAATTGTTCATCGATTATCAGTTCACATAGCATCGCCACACAGCGCGTTCGTGTACTCATCATCAGCTATTAGCAGTTTTTAAATATATTTAATATTTTACCTCAAGCAGCACATTTTATTTATATTATCAGCAGCAGCATCTTAAGTGTAACGTACATCTTTACGGTCCTTCGAACTTACCGTGAGCGGGACCTCTGTCGCGAGTGACCTATTTAGAATTGCGAAAGCGGTGACGCGCCACGTAAGTCAACCAGCAAGCAGCATTGGTAAGTCTACAGCTCTCTATTATAATCAGCAGCCACAGTAATTGTTAAAAATGGAAGATCTTGTAGCTAGTCAGAACCAAATAATGGGAGCTATGGATCAGCTCCTAATCAACTTTAAAAAAGACGGTGCCGACCGCAAGACACCGGCTCATATTAAAAAGCGACTTAGTACTTTAGAAAGTTATTAGCAGGAGTTTCAAGGTAATCGTCTTAAACTTTTTGAGTCTGCCAATAAATCTCATGAATATTTTACTGGCAATTACTATAAAAGAACGTCCGATTTTTATAATGAGACACGCAATTATCTTCTTAGTTCTTTACCGAGTGACTCTAAAGAAAAAAGCCTTCTCAGGCCAGCTACCTCATTGCAAAAGACCAGTTTTTCAGCTATACCGTCTGGTAGCGCGCTCCATCCTGAAATTACAGCTGACGCAGAAGCATCCCGAGCCCAAGGTACAAGCAGCAAGTTAGAGGATATGTTGAGAAAGCAGGGCTCTTATCGACCAAGGGTCCCCCTTGGTCGATAAGAGCCCTCATGGACCCATGCCCCAAACTTCAATTATCACCGAAAACGGCGCTCAAAGATTAGGATTACTTCGCAAGCATTGCAAAGGAGTGATATTAAGAGTAGGCGCGAAGGATAACAGCTGCAAGGGTGTTATAAATATCACCTTATCTTCCTGTTATAGCACGTATAGACCGACAATAACGATTTTTAGATCTGTGCCTTGTCATACTGGACCTGTCTCCGGAAGGTAAGGAGATTTTTAAAGTCCGGCGCATCTGTAACCTCACGCCAATTGCAGTTGAAGCCCTCCGAAATAGGAGTATCGGTGGCCAGTGCCATCAGTGCCAACTGTACGGCTACACTTGGCCTGAAATTGCTACGCCAAGCCTAGGTGCGTCAAGTGCCTAGGTGGCCACGGCACCACTGACTGAACCTGCACGCCCGAGATGGTTGAACCCCCGAGCTGCGTCAATTGCCGCGAAGAGGGACACCCAGCGAACTATAGCAGATGTTCCAAAGCGCCACGAATGAAGTAGCGCGGAGGTAGAAGCCATCCTGGATACGCGAGTCAAGGCAGTGTGTCTCGCTCTCGGCTGTCTGCCCCCAAACCCGCACCGTCTTCGGTGCCCACATCCGCGCCTCAAGTCGGCATCAAGCCCGCCTCAGTCACCGGGGCAGCCGAGCAAGGTGCCAGCCTTCCCGCGCTTTCCGCGTTAAAACGCAACGCTTGGGTGAAACCACCGTCTCTTGTAGCCTCAAGGCCAGTGCCGCCTCCCCAGGCCCCAAAATCGAAGGCCGTCCCACTAGACTCATCCTCCTTCGCCGCTGACCTCTCGCTAGTCTGCGGCTTCATCAGCAACATCAAGGTTGCTGAGTTATCCTCCTTGGTCCGCAAACTCCGCGGAGCCATCTCACCTCAGGACAAGCTCAACGGTACAATTGAGTTCATAGCACTTATCGACTCAATCTGGTCTTTCCAGTGCGCCTTATGACCTCTTCTAAATATCAGAACGGCAACACAAAAGCTCGGTAGAACTGAACCACGCTCTCTGAGTGTCGCGTTCATTAACGCAAACAGCCTCAGAGATCAAAAAGGCGCAGACACTCTTCCTGCGCAACCACGATGCAGACGTAATGTTAGTACAAGACACTTTTTGAAATCTAGCCATCGCGATCCTAAGATCGCAAACTACATCTTAGTTAGAAATGATAGGTTGACCAGCCCTAGTGGCGGCACCTTGAACTACTTAAAAAAGGTCCTTGCACTGCGTACCAAGAAGATACATATTATATAAACATAGAAGTTTTAATATATAAGGTAGCACTCTCTGGGCTATATAAATGTAGATGTCTATGGGTCACAGCATCCACTTACCATCAAGTGGACTATGTGCTCGTTTGTCACCCTATTCTATTAAAAAAACCCGCTGCTGGATACGGGCCTTTCTATAATCTTACAAATGATTCCTGGTATGAAGCCGCGTTCTGTTGGGAGGAATTAGAGTTAAATAAAGTTACTTACACACGTCCTATTGCTGAGCACAGGGCTCCTGAGAGGTCTTTCTATTTTTGAAAGGATATTAGGGCAAGGAATGCAGTTTTACTCGCGATGTTTTCCTTCACAAAACAACAGTTAAAATTGCAAATAACAATTTTCTTGACGCCGCCGGCAGGGATTGGACCTGGGCTGCTCACGTACTGTGGAATTTACTGCGGGCAATTAGCTACCACGATTTTACGGTCGGTTTTGGAAGGAATTGTTGACGAGCCTTTTCAGGTCAGCTATATTTTCATTTACTATTGACTGCCTATTTGATCTAGTGGTCGTTAACGTGGTTGTTCATCGTGATGAATGAGATCGTGAGTTCGAATCCCGGGTTTGGCCAAAACCAGTTTTGGGCTTTTCTGTTAACAAATTCTTAGTAGCAGCCTGGAGTCAGGAAGTTAGTGGTATTTCAGCTCCGTGCCACAGAAAGCAAGTAAACCATTGGTCCTGTGCCTGATTTCTCCAGTCGTGTTGGAGTCTCATCGGACAATGACTGTGAACGGATAAACAGTGCACCTGTGCTTGGGAAAACACTCGGGCACTATAATTCTGGTCTGCACAGAAGGCTAGTCTCCATTGAACCAGCCGCCCGTGACCGAAATTCTATCTGCAAGACATTATTTTCCTTCACGCGAGTTTTTTTATTAATAACTGATAGATACTCCGATGCCTATGTCACAAGGTCAAACACCTCAGTCCTGTAAAGTACCCGAAACGTCGAGAACTAAAAATACCTACGAATATGTTAAAACTATCTGATACCCGCTCGCTTTGCTGGGCGCAAAATAATATTTTATTAGGACGGCCACATAAATACGGAATTCAGTTTCAGGATTTAATTTCGGAATTCGGAACGGGTTGGCCACAGACATTCGAATCCCGCAAATTTTCAAACGGAAAACTACCGTACGTGTGTGACGGGTCCTTGGTTTTATATGGACTTGCTGCGTTCGGAGTCCCGAATCAGAATTCCGTAACGGAATTCCGTATGTATATGGCCGGCTTTACAGCGTCTATTGGAACAGAAATAGAAAAAAATTATTCAATATAGATTAAAAATAGTATTTATTGAAAGTTACTCTTATGTTTAATTACCAGTTATTTTAAATTTTTTAACACAATAATAACAAATATTAATATGGGACTATCGTAAAATCTGTTTTTATTGAGCGTCTACATTGGGAAATAAGTAGCTATTCTAAATTTCTAGTCAATCGGGTGTATAATTTTAGAGATCTCGTTATGATATAGTTAGTCAGTAATCCGTAAAAAAACTAATCCGTAAAATTATATTTATTCAATGTTCATTACTCGCGTAAAAAAATTATAGACTAAATTACAGAACCGCGCTTGTAGTTGTAGTCGTGTACGTTGACTCCACCGGGTACATTTCCGTGCGACATCTGCTGCAATCAATGTGATTCGACCGTGATATTTCATACTCCGTCTCAGTGAAATTACACGAGAACGGCTTGATACATCCTCTCGGTAGGTTGTCTCCGAAAATGGTACAAATCTTTTTTAAGTACCAATGGTCGTCCACTTCAAAGATCGTGTTCTTTACCCCGATTTCCACGACGGGACTAGCGTCTATGGCCAGTTGAGTGTATTTTGCTGCTGCGAAGCTTGCTAGTGAGCCCTTCGTGAGGACGCAACGTCTGAACCTCTGGGGATCAATGCCCGTTTCACAGAGACACACTTCACTTGACGTTCCTGCGAAGAGTCAAACAATTTATATATATTACATACTTTTATAAATATATATTATATTTATATTTATATATATATATATATATATATATATATATATATATATATATATATATATATATGTATATATTTATATTTATAAAAGTAAAATGATAAATAGAGTTACAATCCACCTGGTGGTAAGAGTTACGGTTACAGCCTATTAAAATCCACTCCCCCCATAGATTACCTCATAGGGGGATATTTTCTATAGTCACCACGCTTGGCAAGCGGGTTGTCAATCACAGTTTTTTGGAACGAAATTCCTTATCGGACGTTACGAATTTGGCGGATGGGGCTAGGCGAGAAAAAGTGTAAGATTTTTCCGTCACGACCCCTTCTGACGTATGTCAGTATGGCCATGGCGGCTATAAGTAAGCGAGATGGAATAATGCCATCTCTCTACCATTTTTCCTTATCTTGCCATGATACAAATATTATTTTATTTTAAATGACACTTCATTTTGATAGACGCTAGTAATTCACTTATTTTTATTTGTTAATTAATATTATAATATTATAATACATTTATCAATAATAATAAACTACGAAAGGAACTTCGTTCCAAACGAGTGTTCCACGACACTCACGGTTTTTACGTGGTAGAGCCATGCTGCAGCTATATTAGTACTATAGTTGTAGCACGAATGGGTCAGCTCGACCGGGGAAGGACCACGCTCTCACAGAATACCAGCGTAAAATAGCAGCTAAACACTGCTGTGTTTCGTATGGTGAGTGTAGAGAACCGGAGACCCTTTTTACTGGAAAAGAGGTTTTCCATCTCAGTCCTCACTGGTGACAACGCATCTGCATATTAATTCGTAAACGAAGATAGATGTAGATGTCTATGGGCCACAGCAACCACTTACCATCAGGTGGACTGTGTGCTCGTTTGTCACTCTTATCCTATAAAAAAAGTATGAGCCGTATGCTAGTCAGCATCCTCTTCCATAAAAAAATTCACGCTGGAATTCTATGCGAGCGTGGTCCTTCCCCGGTCGATCCAACCCATTCGAGCAACAGAGATAACACTGTTATAAACATAAATTCTTCAACTATTCGTTCAACTATTCTTAACAGTGGTAGAGCCACGCTGCAGCTTTTGCTGTCGCACGGATGGGCCGGCTCGAACCGGGGTAGTACCACGACCTCACAGAAAACCAGCGTGAAGTAGAGGTTTACCTCTGCGTTTCGCTTGGTGAGTGCAGGTGGCCGGAGACTCTTTTTACTGGAAAAGAGGCATTCTTTCTTAGTCCTCACGGCTGATAACGCATCTGCATTTTAAATCGTAAACGAAGATAGATGTAGATGTCTATGGGCCACAGCAACCACTTACCATCAGGTGGACTATGTGCTCGTTTGTCACCCTTATCCTATAAAAAAAATTCGTTCCTCAAACGAGAAGATATAATAATTCTCACCTTCAGCCTCACATTTTAGGTACTGCGCCTGGAGAAACGTATTCAGCCTTAGTTCATTCAAAACGCACATCTGAGGTACAGTATACCTCCCGCTGCCCAGTAGGTAATAATCAATCACCACCTCTCCGCCAATATTATCTATGATCCAAGGGTACGTTTTCGTGAAAAACTTTGTGTCTTTTAGTACATCTCCATACACCGAGATAACGTATGTACAGTTGACGGCATATACAACATTTAAAATTAAAATCAATCCTCGAAGCATTTCTTTATATTTTATTAACATGCAACTCAGAACTAATTTTACATTAAAAACAATTTTAATTTATACTATTTTTACTATTGAATGCACACGTGATAGATAATATTTATTATTAAGTTTTATTAAGTGGAATGTCTAGTGTTTTAGCGTTCCTCGATGCAAAATAGAAAAGCATTTGACAATAAAATCGGTCAAGTGCAAACTAAACTCTATGCTCTATCAATGTTCTGTACCATAGAAAATAAAATTATTATTATTAATAGTAATATAGTACCGAAAGGCCACCAAACATTGCCACACACACACGGCACACAACAAGCCTTGTTGTAGAGTTTTGCTATGGGGTAATGCGACTGATATTGAAGCTATATATGTTTTGCAAAAGAGAGCCGTACGGGCGAATTATATTCCAAATTATAAAGAGTCCCTCAGAGAAAATTTTAAATAAATAAACATATTAACTTTGGCATCGCAATATATTTATGAAAATGTAATGTATGTACATAAAAACATAAATAGCTTTAATACGAATAAGGATGTTCATACCTTAAACGCTAGGAACAAACATAAGCTTGTAATGCCAGTTACTAGACTCCACAGAATTGGTAATTCATTTGTGGGGCAATGTATACGCTTTTACAACAAAATCCCAGAACATGTTCAAAGTTTGTCAATAAACAAGATTAAAAGTTTTATTAAAGAAAAACTGTAGAAAAAGGGTTATTATAATAATACATGAGTGACAATAACCCCTTGGAATAAGGTGATCGCCACCATGCTGGTTCTATGAAAATTCTTATAAAATTGTATAAACAAAACTATTGTTAAGTGAAATTATGTTTAAAAAAAAAGTCCCGATGGTTTTCTTGCTGGTTCTTCCCAGGACAGAGGTATTTTCCGAACTAGTGGTAAATAAAAAAAATGACATTCAATAAGTATTATGTAATAATCAATATTGAATAAAAATCATTTTATTCTATTCTATTCTATTCTGTGTTGCCGCTTAAAGGTCAATAGAGTCTTTCGTCTTTAGTGGTAATATCCCATAGGCTTTGTTAAGCCACTTACCATCAGGTCAGGACTACTTTAAACTTAATTGTCAATCAAATAATAAAAGATACTTTTTGACGTCTCCGTGGCGCAGTGGCTTAGCAATGAGTTGTTGCGCTGGGGGCCGCGGGTTCGATCCCCGCACGGAACAAGTATTAGTATGGCCTACAAATAATTGTATCGGGTCTGGATGTTTGCTCTCGTGCAATTTATGTTTTTTACGTGGTAGAGCCACGCTGCAGCTATATTAGTAGTATAGTTGTAGCACTAATGGGTCCCCTCGACCGGGTAAGGACCACTCTCTTAGATAATACCAGTGTAAAATAGCAGCTTAACGCTGCTGTGTCTCGTATGATAAGTGTAGAGAACCGGAGACCCTTTTTACTGGAAATGAGGCATTCCATCTTAGTCCTCACGGGTGACAACTCATCTGCATTTTGTTTTGTAATAGAGGATAGATGTAAATGTCTATGTGCCCCAGCAACCACTTACCATCAGGTGGACTGTGTGCTCTTTTGTCACCCTTATCCTATAAAAAAATGTAAGTAAACTGCCTCCACGACACAGGAGTTAATCCAAGTGTGGGGGTAAGGTTTCATAAAAAATAAGTAAAAAAATAAGAGAAGTATCTATAAACGTCAGCAGCCTATAAATGAATTGTGTGCTAAAATTACAGTCCGAAACCTCCCATTGCTGTACAAAGGCCTGGTCTCCTTTCTGAGTGAATATAGAGCAATAACACCGCCACGCTGCCCCAGTGTGTGCTAGTAGACGTCACATGATCTGGAAATAATTTTTAGACATGCAAGTTCCTCCACGATGTTTATTGCTTTATTTATTTAAAACTTTATAATATACACACGTGGTATATAGGTGGACTTAATGCCTAAGGCATTCTCTACCAGTCTACCTTGGGATGATGCAGAGATAGAATGAAGTAGGTGAAGTAAAAAGTTAATATGACAGTACTAGACTAAAATAACTATAATATACAATACAAATATACATATAGTGAAATAAATTTACATACATGTATATATATATATATATATATATATATATATATATATATATATGTATATATATATAGTAAAATATATAAATGAAAAATACATAAATAAATAAAACGCAATCAGATGGAATCAAGCAAGAATTTTATTTTTTGCTATTCTGTTCTTAGTATAACTTAATAAAAAAATATGCATCCGAATGCGAGTACAATAATTTAATATTTATTGTTTATGTGCTATAAACTTTGGCATTAGGAAAATGTCAAGCAGCTAACATCATTTCAAATAGAAATAAAACAATTTTATGACATTTTAACTACGTAGAATACTAACAAGGCCACGTGCAGGTGTCTTCGTCGTATAGCACCGACATTTATCATGCTCCCACTTTTGGACCTCATATTGGATACACGTATCGTGGTCAATAATGTGTACGTATTTTGAAAGTATATCACTTTTAACGTGATGGAGCCACGCTGCAGCTATATTATGGTTGCCGCACGATTGGGGGTGTCTGGGCCACAGCAACCACTTACCATCAGGTGGACTGTGTGCTCGTTTGTCACTTGCTCGCTCGTGTGTGTGTGTGTGTGTGTGTGTGTGTGTGTGTGTGTGTGTGTGTGTGTGTGTGTGTGTATCTATCAAAGTTAAAACAGTATTTCCACAATTATTTATTCCGCTGCAGAAACGCGCCGGGTACCAGCTATAGTATATTATATAATTCTTCTTTCCGTGTGTATGTGACTGAACTCCTCCTAAACGGCTGGACCGATTTTGATGAAAGTTTGTGTGTGGTTAAGTTGATTAGAGAATGGTTTAGATTCACAATTGGATCCGCTAGGTGGCGTTGTTGTCGAGAATCAGAAATCAACCGTGCGAAGCCGGGGCGGATCGCTAGTTAAACATAACAATGACCCTCAATAAGTATTATTTTTAATGTATATTGATTAAAAAAGTTTTCCTTTCCATTTCAACAAGCAGTTATGCTAAGTTATAGTTATACGTAAATTCAACTCATCTTAAAACACAAGGTCGGCAGTTATTCGGTCTTTGCTTACTTCTTTAGGAGGATTTATGGAAGCAAACGACAATTTGAAGGCCCATTCGGAAAGTTTGCGAAATAATCATCATGGCCGAGATTTTGCGTGATTTAAAGCTAGCTATTGGATTTTACTGGGCCCCGAAAAGAGCGTTTGTGGTTTAATTCATACTAGTGATCGGAGAGTGGGAGGAAATAGTGAGAGCGTGGTCCTTCGCCGGTCGAGTCGACCCATTCGTGCTACAACTATATACTAATAAAAGCCGTAGCATACTACGTAAACGCTAAAAATAAAAAGAGAGTTTAAACATTTTCAGTTCGCTAACTGTATAGCCCCATCTTACAAAGCGTTTTGTGAGTAAAGTACGAGCACTTAGTTCAATTAATGGTGTTATCCTTCATTCAATAATCCTGAAAGGGCGCCTGTTATTTCTGCTTTCAGTTGCTCTGAAACGAATATCCATTTCATACCGTTTTAATAACTCTTATATATTCATACATTCTGTATTTCATTCATTAATTATAAGCTCTTTACAAGGCCTCAACTACTTACCCTATTAGGGGCCCGTGAATAGAATAGAATAGAATACTTTTTTATTCAATATAGATCACATGTGTAATTCTTATTGAAAGTCATTTTTTACTTTACCACTGGTTCGAAAGAAAACTTCTATCCTGGGAAGGGCCAGCAAGAAACGCAGAGGGACTTTTTTTAAAGATGGTTGTACAAACCATTTACAAAATTTATTTTAGAAACTGCTTGGAAGCGACCACCTCATTCCCAGGTGTTATTATCAACCATGTATTCATTTTTTTACTTATTATAAACCAGTGCTTGACCACAATCCCACCTGGTGGTAAATGGTGATGCAGCTCTAGATGGTAAATTGCATTGTCTTATCGAAACAAAAGCCTATTCACTCTTGCCTTGAAGACACCCAGATTGTAATCGGATAGAAAGATCACTCCTTTGCTGTACGCAATACAAAAGACGAAGCAAACCTTTTGGTTCTAATGCGTGGAATATCGACAATAAAGGGGTGAAGACCCGCCGACCGCCTGGTTGTCCGATGGTGGAAAGGAGAGAGAGGAATTAAGGCGTGTAATTCCGGCGCACACTCACCGAAATGCATCCTATAGAATACCGAGAGAGTGACTACTCTGCGCCGGTGCTCAAAGCTGACAAGATTGGTTTCAACCAAATCAAGGTCACCAATGAGTCTCTTAGCATGTCTCTCCAACTGAGTGAGTCCATCGCTGCCAGGTGGCATTTTGCAGCACCGGCCCATATGTGGCTGCAGTACTCCATACACGACCGGACTTGCGCTTTATATAAGGTTAGTTACTGCCCCGTCGTGAATTACCGCCGCACCCTTGCAAAGACACCAAGTTTTGTTGCAGCGGCTTTGGCTCTGGAGTCAATGAACCGCCCATAGTTGAGGTTTGGAGAAAATTCAACCCCTAACAACTGAAGTTGGTTAGTATACTCCAAGGATACATTCCGGAAAGTAGGAGCCAAGGTGAGTGGGCTCCTTTTAGCGGTGAAAAGACACGCTTGTGTTTTGGAGGCGTTAAATCTCACGAGATTGGCATCGCCCCATTCGGAGACTGCCTGTAGTGTGAGACTCACACGCTCAACCATAGCCTCTCTTTCTGACTGGATTTGATCCCGACTGGCCCGGGCACTTGTTTGGTATCTCTCCACAACTGCGCTGTCATCTTCATATCCATAAATACTGGGAATGAGCAGATCATTTATATGCAGCAGGAAGAGAGTTGCGGAGAGAATGGACCCCTGAGGAACACCGGCGTTAGTCAACACAGTATCGGATGAGCAGCCATCGACGACGATCCAGAGAGACTGTTTACTCGGAAAGTCCTTCACCCAGACAATCAAGCCAGAG